GCTTGTCGCTGTTGGAAAAGCGGGAGAGTTTGGGAGCTGTTGCTGCCGCCTCCCAGTCGGAAGAACTGGTTTGGCCGTCTAAACCGAGCGAAAGCGGATCGCTTGGGGTTCAAATCAGCCGTTCAGGGTCACCCCCTCCTGGGTCACATGATCTGGGCCGCTGCTTAGGCTTTTAGTTTTGCGTTTTAGCAGAAGGTATTCGAGGCCGCATTGAATAAAGCTTCTTCACAAAACTTCCACTTTCAGGGTGTTTTGTCATCGGACCCACAAATATTACAGAAGGTGCCCCAAAAGGCATCCCAGATCCACAAGGTGCCCAAAAAGGCAATCCAGATCCACAAGGGAGTTATTCCCTGTGAGAAAAGGTTTGGGGGTTTTCTGAGCTCAGATAAAAGGGGGAAACATGATTGAGTTGCATAAAACTATGCATGGTGTGAGGAAACTGGATAGGGGAAAATCTTTTTCCTCTTCTATAACCCAGGTCTTCCAGTGAAGCTGGATATTGGTAGAGAGACAAGAAAGTACTCAACACAGCGTAAAACATGGAGTTCTACTCCTGGGGTGAAGTGCTGGCTCCCAACTTGGGAAGACATAGAAGGGAATGAGACAAATTCAAGGAAGGTAAAACTATCAGTGACTACCAGGCCCTCTCAATAATCCAGAGAGTCCTAGCTGATTTGAGAAAGCATGTTCACATACCTTTTTATTGATTTATAAGTACATTTAAACTCAGTTTTAATATGACAACATTCACAGGAGTTAATGTGTTTCACTCGGTCACCTCTCTTACATGCTTAAATTAGTAGTTGTGAAACAAAGCAAATACCCTCAAGTGTCTAAATTTGAGTTTAAGGCTTGTTGCTCAGAAATGCCAGGCTCTGCCCCAGGGAATTCATAGTCTCTGTTGGATGGGGAGGGGGAAAGCAAAACTCATTATAGACCTATCAATGACCATGAACCAGGATAATAAAGCAAAACCTCCAGACACAGAAGCAGTATACCTTTGACGAGGAGTTACATTTTTCTCTGTATGCCACGTCACACAGAAGATAGAGCAAACTTGTCTGTTCCTCCAGAGGACAAGGCTAGAAATCAACAGGCAGAAATTGCAGGGGGTGGAATATATTTTTTAAAAAATTGTTGGGAGAATCTTCCTAATAGTAAAAGGTGTTCAGCAGTGGGACAGACTGCTGCTGAATGCAGTGAGTACCAAGGCCTTGTGAAGCACCCCCTTTCTCCAAGTTTCAGCAAGGGGGGCATTCTGGCGGCAGCCAAAGTGGGAGGCGAGGCACAGCAGCAGGTGGCAAAATGGGCTGGACCACCCTTGAGACCTGTGCTGTGGAATATTTTTCAGCCCAAGGGCTGCATTCATATTCCAAGGGCCACACAGCAGTGCTAGGTGGAGCCAGAGACAAAAGTAGGTGGAGCGATGAATGCAAATTTTACCTTTGCACGGTAGGCTAGTTTCTACACACACACACACACACACACACACACACACACACCCTCTGTAGCTCCCATGCATCCAACAGGATGCATAATCAGAGTTCAAGAACACATTCTGGCCAGGCAAAAACATTCAAGGAAAATTAAAAGTTGGGCCAGCGAGGGATCTCTCCTGGGGAGTGTTCATGGGCTTGAGGATTCCCCTCCCTCGTCCATGGATTACTCTCTTATCTAAACAAAATAAAAAAATGCCTTCCAGTAGCACCTTAGAGACCAACTAAGTTTGTTGTTGATATGAGCTTTCGTGTGCATGCACACTTCTTCAGATACACGAAAGCTCATACCAGTAAAAAACTTAGTTGGTCTCTAAGGTGCTACTGGAAGGATTTTTTAAATTTTGTTTCGACTACGGCAGACGAACACAGCTACCTACCTGTAACCAGAACTCTTTTATCTAAGAACATCTAGAATCGAGCACCTTGCTGTAAAAAAAGGACACTGACCTTTGCTTAAAAAAACATGATTGGCTTGGGGTCAGGTCTAGGGCAGGAGACCATTGTCTCTTTTATCATTTTAAAAGGAAAGTTTACTCTTGATGAGTGGCTGTGATTATAAAGAGGAAATGCATCACTGCCTGGAAAACAAAGCAACAGTTGTACAGTATGTTGATTGGGATGCTAAGTTGATGGTGTGACATCTCTCTCTCACACCTGTGCAGATGGGCCTTTAAGAACAGATTATGGTTTGCAACACCTATCCAAAGCTTATCAGTTTTCAACATCTGGCTCTGCCATGTACATGGTCTATTCAGCTTCATTAACTACAAATCCCCAGTCTGAGTACTGATTTCTAAGTTTGGAGGACACTGCAAAATGTGGGGTTTTGCAAAACATTGGCCCCAGTTTGGGGTGAATTGGAGAATGTTGTTTTTTTTGGGTGTTATCTATGACCCCCAGGGTTGATGTATCAATTGCTCAGTTTACGGGATGCTGCAGGGCTTGCAAGACGGAGCTGTTCCGCAAGGCCTTTGGTCTGGGCACAGTCTGACCCCCTTCTTTTTATGGGACCCTGTATGTAAGTGGCCTCCTTGGCTCAACACAAGTGGCTGGGCCTGGTGAACTTTTAATTCCTTACCTCTATGGTTATAATTCGTGGGTTCCCACTTAATTTTATTCTGATTTTAAATGTGATTCGAATTGTATTTTAAACTAATCATTTGATTTTGTGTTTTTAATGTATCATATATTTGGTTTAGCCACCCTGAGCCCGGTCTCGGCTGGGGAGGCGGGGTATAAATAAAATTTATTATTATTATTAAAAACACGAGGGATTATTGGCTGCAAAACTCTGCAAAAGGACTGCAAAACCTTGGCAGTGGCTTGGAGGGGACCCCAAATTTAAGCTTCTATCCTGTGCATAATAGCAGGATGTGTGTGTATAATAGTTGTTTCTCAACTCAACTCTACCTATTTCAGTCCCCGGCTTCTTCAAGCAGGGAGAGACTGAAACCCTTGAAAGCAGCTTCCAGTCAGTGAAGACAGTACTGGGCTAGATGGAACAAGAGTCTGACTCACTATATAGGCAGCTTCAGTTGTTTCTATGAGTTTACTAATTCACTGGTTTGGGGGCAGGGTTGTAGCTCATTGTTGAATGGCTTAGTATGCTAAAGGTACCAGGTGCCATATCTGGCAGGGTCGAGAGTGTCCCTTGTCTGAAAACGCCAAAGAGCCACTGCCAGTCAGTGTAGACAATATTGAGCTAAATGGACCACTGCTCTGACTCAGTATAAGGCAGCTTCCTGTGTTCCTTTTGGGTCTTTTTAATCCAGCAGCAGTGAAACACTTTGAAATCTTTTCAGTGGAAGAGTGGAATTCTAAACCAACCAACCACCAACACCAAATAAACCCTCTTAACTCTGCCTTTAAGGCTCATCATAAAGCTTTTTGCATGGAAATAAACATTTACCAATAGGTAGAATTCAATACGTATGTATTTAGAGGGCATACACACATTTGCATTTTTCTGCACTGCTTTAAGGCTTAGAAATGGGTGAGTGAGTTTTAAATAAAAGCTCAGCTTCTCTATTCTGCTAAGGATTTTAGCCTGTCCTTGTTTTAAGGCTGTTTTCACCAGGTTGAGTGCTGCCATGGTCACAAGCAGCTGAGCAATCTCAACCCTGTGTGTGTTTGGGAGAGGCCAACTCCCATCACAGAAATGTGCTTCTCCCCACCCACCCCTCACTCTTGCAGACGGTCCCTGGTTCCATCTGCAGCCCCTCCAGCTACAGCAAAATCAGCAGAGAATAACCCATACGAATTCATCGCATTTGAGCTACGATTTCCCTGAATGGACCATTAAGGAGCAGATATTTGTCTTGCCTGCGAACTTACAGTGGCTCTTAGCTCATGGTGCTTCTGTTTATCGAATGATGATGATGTGCCAGGAATAATACATTCTCAGAGGTTCTCCTCCGCCAATGATGGATGGCGCCGATACATAATCGGGGCAACCCATTGCTCCACTGATGTATTATACCAACATGCCATCAAAGGGAAAGGCTGTTGTTTTATTGATGTCCTGAGTCTGATTTGCTGCCTGACTAGGACCCTCTGATGATGCATCACACAAAGGACCATTTCCTGGTTAGGGAAGAAAGGTGTCATAATTGCTGGGATGGTGCAATCAGGGAAGGAATAGCAAGCAACAGACAAAAGGTTGCTTTATACAACCGAAGGTCATGGAAGCTAATGTTGTCTTTTTCTGCTCTCTTTAAGGTACTGGGCCCTGAGGAAAGTGTCTTAGCTCAGTGGTAGAGCATCTGCTTTGCATGCGGAGGTTCAATCCCTGACATCTTGACGTAGGGCTGGGAATGACAGCTGTCTGAAACCCTGGAGATCTCCTGCTAGTTAGTAATTAGTTATTATTTCAAATCTCCTCAAACTGGGCCAGGGAGGGCTCCAGGTTTGGGCAGGTTCTGGTCAAAGCGTCCTCAGATGAGCCACCTCCTCTTTGGGTGTGTTCTGTTGGGTTTATCTGGCTGCCATGACAGCCCTCCAGAGAGTGCTGATTGGGCAGCTGGGTCTAGCTACCTGGTCCCACCATGTCCCACCATGTCCCAGAGTAATGCCAGGTTGGGACATGGTGGGGTATGTATGGCTAAATACAGCTGCCTGATGCTTCTCAGAGTGCCCCAGTTGAGGCAGGAGGTAAACAGATGTAGGGGGTGGGGGCTTCATCAGTGGACTCTGTCAAGGCTACAGGGGCCTTGGGGCGCCAGGTGCTGATGCCAGGCCCGAACTGGATCCAGAGTTCCAGCCCAAGCAGTGGATGCAATCATGAAATGAATATTTATCATAATAACCTTTCCTGCATGAATGTTTCAATTCAAAGCTAGAGGCACACTGTGTGATGCAAACAGTTCAATGAAATTTGTGAGCCAAGCAATTAAGGGTAAGGAAAAACCACTTCAAATACTTTTCCAGAGGGGAGGGGAGGAGGGGATGCAAAAATTGGCAAGGTGAAAGAGTTCGTATCTGCAAGAATTTCAGCTTTCTTTACCTCTGAAGCTCCTTTCCTTCTGCAGCTCTCCTCTGTTCCTTTTCCAGTTTTCCTTCTCCTTTTTTCAAATGCTCCCTTATATTCTTCTCCAGCCTTCCTTTCCTAGGACACCCTGTCTTGCCTGGTCCTTCTGGGAGGTCAGAGCAGTTCAGCCAATGGTATGCAGAGATTCTTAGAGTCAGCCAGTATGGCAATCTGAGGTCCTTCTGCAATAGCAAGGAAGGGAAAGGGTGCTTTCAAATAAATGTTTATTGGAGGATTGCTGCTCTTTATGAATGCAGAGTTTTCAAAGGCTGTGTGCACACCATGCATTTAAAGCACATGCCTTCCTGCAAAGAATTCTGGGAACTGCAATTTGTCAAGGGTTCTGGGAATTGTAGCTCTGTGAGGGGTAAATTACAATCCCCATGATTCTTTGGGGGAAGGCATGTGCTTTAAATGCCTAGTGTAGAAGCAGCTAAAATGTCAACACAACATTGTTAGCATCAAAATGCCAGCCTATCTTTCTTCCCTTCTCAAATTGAATCCAGATTTTCCCTTTCTGTGGAAAATGCAGCGTTGCAAAAATATGCCAGTTGCCAATTTCTGTTACCAACCTATTTGCCGTTTTAAGTCCCTGTCTGGAACACCCAGAGTAGCTGATATTGTGACTTCTAGATGTTGTTGGATTACAGTTCCCACCAGTGGAAACTGGCACCCATTGGGAAGAATAGGGAAAAAAGTCAGGGAGGCCAACACTAGGGGGCACCAGAGCACATGGCTGGTGGAGCTAGCCCCAATGGTAAGTGGAGCTAGTGAATTCTGGGTTTGTCTCCATCCTCCTCCCTGCTGAGCTCTCCAAGGGCAACACTGTGAACAAGGACAAGGAGGTAGACCATCTAAGCCACAGCCTGGACTAGTTGTAAGTAAGGAAGTGGGCAGGTGGGGACCGGCTGAGGACAGTCTGAGCTTGGTGGGACAGCGTTCTACTTGCCTAATGGATTACCTCCAATGGTCTCAAACATCCCTGACTGTTGGCCATGCAACAACTGGAGAGAGCCAACTTGGCTACCCTTGAATTAGATCATAAGACTATACTTATGCTGCTACTCCAAGCAGTGGGTTAGCAAAAGACTCAGTCTTGCATTTTTTGCCACTTAGCATGGAATAGTAGTTGCCATAAAAGCCGAGGAGATTTCAACTCTTAAGACCAGATTTTCCTAAGTCTCGAGTACTCAAAACCCCGGCTTGATTTTTATCTGAGATTTGCTTTACCTTTCACTTTGCTAAAGCAGAGACTGGATTATTGGAATCACAGCAAACAGATCTTATTATCTAATCCTGTGATTAGCCTCTCAGAAGCATGTGCCTTGAGAGGAAGGAATCTGTCACGTCTCAAGGAATTCAGGGGGTCACTGCAGTCAGGCAGAAAACAGTGAATTTCAAAAGAGAAGACGTTCGTTCTAAAGCTAATTCAGCACTTTCCAGTTTTGCATCATCTGGTGAATAGTTACAGGTCAAGAGTATGGGCCCATCCGCACTATACATTTAAAGGTGTATCGTACCACTTTAAAGAGTCATGGCCTCCTCCAAAGAATCCTGGGAAATGTAGTTAGTTAAAGATGCTGAGAGTTGCTAGGAGTCCCCTATTCTCCGCGCAGAGCTACAATTTTCAGATTTCCCTGGGAAGAGGGATTGGCTGTTAAACCACTCACTTTGCCTAATGATAAGGCACTGTCTCCAGCTGTTGCTGGAATACAACTCCCATCAGCCATGACCATTCTGCAGCCAGGGAGAGGTGGAAAGTGTTGTTCATTATGTTCACCATCGCTCCTTGTACGATTCTCCAAGGGACAGATTTCTCAAAGGAATTCTCCAGAGAGCTTTCTTTTTTTGAATAATAAAGAGAAAGCCTGTTGTTTGTTGATAGATGGGGATAAATATGTTTCATGCAAGGTTTCTAAGTTTGCTTCCACAGCTCAGCGGATCAGACAGAATTTTGTTGTACAGCATGGGGTCCTGTGTGCTGGGAACCACCTGTGCTCAAATGTGTTTCTATGCTGTTTGCATCTTTGTGATGACCAAAGGCTTGCAACAAATTAATCTGAGTGCCCCCTGACCATTGGCTGTGTTGAATGGGGCTGTTGAAAGCAACAGTCCACAGCATCAGAAGGGCATCACATTAGCTACCATTGCCTTAGGCTGTGATCCTTGGTGTGAGAACATTGGGGTCTCATACATATACCCAGAAAAGGGACAGGTACCATATAGCTCAGTGGGAGAACATCTGCTTTGCATGCAGAATGCAGAAGGTCCCAGGTTCAACCCCAGGCATCTCCAAGTAGGGCTGGGAAAGACTGTGCTTGAAACGACCCTTAAAAAGGTAAAGATAAAGGACACCCAACAGTTAAGTCCAGTCGCAGACGACTCTGGGGTTGTGGCGCTCATCTTGCTTTACAGGCTGAGGGAGCTGGCGTTTGTCCGCAGACTGTTTTTCCGGGTCATGTGGCCAGCATGACTAAGCCGCTTCTGGTGAACCAGAGCAGCGCACAGAAACGCTGTTTACCTTCCCACCGGAGTGGTACCTATTTATCTACTTGCACTTTTTGGTGTGCTTTCGAACTGTTAGGTTGATAGGAGCAGGGACCAAGCAACGGGAGCTCACCCTGTCACAGGGATTCGAACCGCCAACCTTCTGATCAGCAAGCCCAAGAGGCTCAGTGGTTTAGACCACAGCGCCACCCACGTCTCCCGAAAGGACCCTTAGGTCCCTTCCAACTCTACGATTCTATGAAACCCTGCAGAGTCTCTGCCAATCAGTGCAGACAATACTGAGCTAGATGGACCAATGGTCTGACTTGGCTTCCTGTCCCTATCGTCATCTTTGTCACACTGCAGGATCTGCAGGTCTGAAGTTTTAGTGTGCACATATCTCCAAGTGGCTTTTTGGGTATATTTCTGGGCTTTAGACCCCAAGCACCCACGAGTTCAACCTTTGCCAACGTGAAGCAGATAAATTTATCACCCATACCCACACGCCACTGGTTCCTAGATTCCTTTCATAAAAAGAGCGACGGGGAAAGCCACACGGACTGTGGGCAATGGCACCCTCAGTAGCACGAGTTCAATAAGTTAAATAAATAAAGAATGTGCTCAGTAAATACAGAGCGGGCCTGCAATGGATTCCCTTAGGCAAACAGAAAAAGCCTGGGCTTTCTTCTGCTCCTTTGCCTTCATACAAACACTCAGTGTGCGTTTCCATGGCTCTGGTCCCAAGAAGCAATATATTATTGAAAGAAATAAAGCTTTAAAGTCTGCTCCATGTGCAAAGCTCACCCTCCCCACCCCACCCCCAAGAAACTCCACGAGCCACGCTGGAAATTGGTGTCGATGCAAATACAGTGGAAAACCACCGAGGTCCTGTACCGGCAGCATACAAAGAGCAGCCTCTCTTCCTTAGATGTGACAGAAGTCTGGCTCGCCGTCGCCAGGCTGCAGAGTTTGCAAACTCTTCAGCTTTTAGGCAGCGGCCCCAAAGGCAGAAATTCAATGGGTGAAGCTTGGCTGGGGTACAAAAAGAAAGAATGCAAAATATCCAAGCCTGTTCCACTTCTCCACATTGGGTGGGGATGGAGCAGGGCTGGCATTGTGGTCTAAACCACTGAGCCTCTTGGGCTTGCTGATTGGAAGGTCGGCGGTTTAAATCCCCATGACGGGGTGAGCTCCCGTTGCTCTGTCCCAGCTCCTGCCAACCTAGCAGTTTGAAAGTATGCCAGTGCAAGTAGAGAAATAGGTACCGCTCCGGCAGGAAGGTAAACGGTGTTTCCATGCACTCTAACACTCGTCACGGTCCACCATGCGCCAGAAGCGGTTTAGTCATGCCGGCCACATGACCTGGAAAACTGTCTATGGACAAACGCCGGCTCCCTCAGCCTGAAAGCGAGATGAGCTCCGCAACCCCATAGCCGCCTTTGACTGGACTTAACCATCCTGGGGTTCTTTACCCTTACCTTACCTTACCTTGCCTAATAATGTAGGAACAGCCTGCTGGATGAGGCCAATGGCCATCTAGTCCAGCATCCTGTTCTCACAGTGGCCAACCAGATGCCTGTGGGAAACCCACAAGCGGGACCCAAGCACAAGAGCACAGTCTCCTCCTGTGGTTTTCAGCAACTGGTACTTGAAGCACCACTGTCTCTGACCATGGAGGCAGAGCATCGCCATCATGGCTAGTAGGCATTGATATCCTTATCCTCCCGGAACATGCCCAATCCTATTTTAAAGCCATCCACGTTGTTGGCCTCACTGCCTCCTGTGGGAGAGAGTTAAATAGTTTATGTGATGCACAGAGAAGTATTTCCTTTCATCTGTCCTGTGTCTTCCAACATTAGATGTTCCCAAATTCCAGTGTTATGAGAAAGGGAGAAAAACTGTCCTCTGACCGCTTTCTCCATGCCATGAATAATATTACATACTTCTGTTGTGTCACCTCTTGCTTGCCTTTTCTCGAAACAGAAAAGCCCTCCCGAAGAAGATAGGAATCGCAATGTTTCCCATGGCTAGCAACACAATATGGAGTTACTGAAATCCAGCCCTTGCTTGAGTGGTCGCCATCCTTTCCCACCAAAGAGAGGGAAGCCGAAACACATAAAGGCATTGGTCACCAATACAGCATTGTGGGCACAGAACCACCCTTAGAGGTGTTCCCTGGCATCCACAGGGTCCAATCTCTCCTACTGAAATTAGGCTTGAAAAAAACTTTCCATTCTGCATGCACATGTGGGCTTGCAATTATGGAGTGTGGCTGTGATACATTCACGGTTGCAGTGCATACATGTTGTGCATGCATGGTTGCGGTGCCCGCAACAGTTTCTCTGGTTTGCAAATGTGCCCACGGACCCACAAAGACCGGCAGCCTCTGCATTAAGGACTCTAAAGAGAGACAGACAAAAAAATGTGTGTGCCTTCAGTAATGGAATCGACAAAATGCAGCGGATTCAGGACATTGCTTTCAGGAGGTTCTTGGTTATTTCCAAAACTTGGTTGTTTCCAGGGACTACCAGCTTCTAAGAGTGATCCAGTCTGCGGGAATGAGCAGCTAACTCGTCTCCATTCCATCAAAAGCTCCACATTTCTGCAAATTAAGCTGCTGGAAAAGGCACAAGAGTAGGCTGGGCCATTTCCCCCCTGATCCGTTAGCAACCCCAGCTTTGAAGTTTGTGGCTTAATTAAATCAATTACAAATATTGTGGAATATATAAGGCACAGGTGTGGGGTGGGGGACCTGTAGCCCTCCCTATGTTGTTGGACTAACGCTTCTATCATCTCCAGCCAGCACGGCCAATTGTGAAAGGGTGATGGAAGGAATAGACCAGCAACTGCTACTGAGCCTCCAATTCCCGACCCACTTAAAAGGAGCTGAGGTAGCCGAGCTGAAAAGACCTTTTGCCTTGACTGTTGGAAAGTCACTATCGGTTAAAGGACTTTTGGAGGGGGTTATTTGGTTATTGGTTTCGGCTGTGGCTCCGATCTGGTGGAACGCTCTGTCACAAAAGACTAGGGCCCTGCGGGACTTGACATCTTTCCTCAGGGCCTGCAAGACAGAGCTGTTCCACCAGGCCTTTGGCCAGGGCACAGCCTGACTCCCTCCTTTGGCAGTCTTCACAGAACTCTAGCCCAGTGGTTGCCATCAATTTGATTTGAATTAATTTTATAATGAAATGATTTTAGAATGTTGTATTATTTTATTGTTGTTAGCCGCCCTGAGCCCGGCTTCGGCTGGGGAGGGCGGGATATAAATTTTAAAAAATATTATTATTATTATTATTATTATTATTATTATTATTATTACTATTATTATTATATGCATGCTGCCAAGGACTCTCTAAAGCAGGGGTGTTAGGACTTTTGACTGCCAGGTGTGATTAGACTCCAACTCCCATCAGCCCCAGCTAGCATGGCCAATGGACAGAGAAGATGAGGGCTGTAGTCCAGGGATATCTGGAGGACTGCAGCTCCCCTCTCCTCGATAAAAGTGGTAGAAGGAGGAAGAATGCCTCCTCCTCCTCTTTTTAATTTTTTAACATCCAGCAGCTGCGGTTCTTTCTCTGGGTTTCATTGGCAAGCTGTCCAGGTGACACAATAACACTATACAAAAGCAGATCCACACTGTACGTTTAAAGCATATTTGACACACGACTTCCCCCAAAGAATTCTGGGAACTTTAATTTGTTATGGGTGCTGGACAGGGGAGCACTGTAAGGGGAAAAAACTACAGTTCCCAGGATTTGGGTGGGTGGGTGAGCATGTGCTTTGAATGCACACTGAATGTGCTTAAAATGTATAGTATGGATTTGTCCTTATGTTGCCAGCACTGCCTTAACTAAACAGAGGTGTGGTAAAACATGCTAAATAAATAAAAAAAAGAAGAGGAAGAACAGGACAAAAGGCAGTCAAGGTAAAAGGTGTTATTCATAAATGTCAGGAGAAATGGCAACAGGTGCCCTTGAATGAACTGCACACTGAGTACTGCAGAGTTGCCGGGGGCAGCAGCAAGACGCGGAGCGATGGGTGGAATTTCCTGAGCAGGGAATAGAGAGCATCTTTTTAGAAATCCCCCCAGCCTCCTTTACACAATATGTTCCCTGTCAAAAATAGCTCTTGCTCATCAGGCTCACCTGTCCTCCCGAAAGACAGGTATTTACAGATGGTAGAATCATTCCCTTTAGCCCCAGAGGTTTCAAAACAAACAGAAGGCAGCTCTCAGAATCTGGAATACTGGCAAAGCCATTGGCAGCTTGACCAGCCTCTGGAACGTATCAACACAGACGGCCCTACCGTGAGGCAGAGTGAAGCAACTGCCTCAGGCGGCAGCTGCCGGAGGGCCTTTTGAAGCCTTCCCTTCTGTTGGAGAACAGGCCTGCATGTGCCCCACAGCCTATCCTGCGTGCCTTAAACTAGCTTGCTGCCCTCGGGTGCCTTGAGGAATGCTATTCCATAAGGCAAAACCATCAGCAGCTTGACCTATCTCTGTAATATTATAAATGCTAAGACAAGTGCTTAAAATGTGAAACGGAATATTGATCTAGCCCAATACTTTAAATGTTTTGTGTGGGGCTAGGGGGATTTAGCAGCAGTTTTGATCTGTAGACATAGGCAGACGACAATGCTTCTCTGCACACCGTTAAAAGCCTAACCTGCCTACCGTATTGGCCTGAATATAAGACACACTTTTTTACCAAATTCCGACCGTGAAATATTAATGTGGGGCTTAAATTCATGATCTTACAAAAATAGGCATTTACGATATTGCTGCTGAAACAGACATACAGTAAAATGGAACAGGTGTGTGTACCTGCAGAATTTTAAGAGAGAGACTTATATTCGGGTACAGTGGTACATCAGGTTAAGTACTTAATTCGTTCCGGAGGTCCGTTCTTAACCTGAAACTGTTCTTAACCTGAAGTACCACTTTAGCTAATGGGACCTCCTGCTGCCGCCGCGCCGCCGGAGAACGATTTCTGTTCTCATCCTGAAGCAAAGTTCTTAACCTGAAGCACTTAACCTGGGTTAGCGGAGTCTGTAACCTGAAGCGTATGTAACCTGAAGCGTATGTAACCCGAGGTACCACTGTATTGTCTTTTCCCCCACTCTTGAATTTTAAAGGTGCAGCTTATATTCGGGCCAATACGGTATTTCTACCGAACCAATGGCTTTTAGAAGAGCAGAACAGGTCCCTCCCTGATCAGTTGGCAACCCTATATGTGCTGCATTGGCTAAGGCTTCAGGAGAAGGGCTGTAGCTCAGTGGCAGACACCTGCTTTGAATGCAGAAGGTTCAAACCCAGGCATCTCCAGGTAAGGCTGGGACTGTTCCCTGCGTGAAACCCTGGAGAGCTGCCAGTCAGTGTAGACAGTGCTGAGCTAGGTGGATGAATGGTGTGACCTAGTATAAGGCAGAGTCCTATGTTCCTGATATATCTGAGAACTGTAATAAAACGGCCTACTAATTCTTGCTCTTCCTTATAAAATAAAAAAGGGGGGGTTAAAGCTAAAATTTTAACAGCTGCATGCTGTGTACTCTGGAGAGCAATCTTGTTAATTTACCCTTGAGTAATCCCCAGAAGCGACGGCCAGCTTCATCTCCTCTCTAGACAGGCCGCTAGGGGGACCTTAATACAGCAGAATCTTCATTAATAATTTTCACAGAGCACACAGATGTTAGGATGAGTGAGTGGCAATAATTAAACTAGGCAAGCACTGGCAAAACAAAAAGGAGAGGATGTAACACTCCCTCCGTCCCCTGCTCTCATTGCTTAGTCCTCTGTGGAAATTCAGGCCCAGGGGACAAATAATAATAATAATAATAATAATAATAATAATAATAATAATTTATTATTTATACCCCGCCCATCTGACTGAGTTTCCCCAGCCACTCTGGGCGGCTTCCGATCAAGTGTTAAAAACAAACAATGCGGCCCTCAAGCCCTCTCTGTGTGGCCCACTAAACTCCCTCCCTCACCTTTGGGCCCTCCTCAAGTGTTTTCCCCAGTCTGGAATGTCTCCTTCAATGGAGCCAATAATGTCTCTAGTTCAGCAGGATGGAGGTGTGTGTGTGTGTTGTGTTGTGTGTGTGTAGAAACTAGCCTGCTGTGCAAAAGGTAAAATTTACATTTGTTGGTCCACCCACTTCCCCTCTGGCCCCGCCCACCACTGTCACGCGGCCCTCGGAAGCTTGCCCAGAAGGGAATGTGGCCCATCAGAGATATGTGTATGTGTAAGGAAGGATTCAGGATATAGCGGCAGCCTCTAATGTTAAATAAGAACTTAACACACACCTTCAGCACCTTTCCCCAGTGTTGATGGAGATGGAGTGGTGAGGAAAGCTTCACCAGTTGAATTTCTCCCTGTTATGTAGTATTTAATGGCACAGGAGCCTGTCTTGGGAAGGGGGAGGAAATGACAGCACTCCTTGCAAGATTTAACAGTCCCCCCACAATTGCATTCTCCTTAGGCTTTTAGAATTTGCATCTTGGAGTGTTTAATCCCAGTTTGAGATCCAGAGTGGAGATATGGGTAGTTCTCTCTCAATAAATACGATACAACTCAAATTATAGTTAATAGACAGAGAAAGTAAAATTTAGACAGCATTATTGAAGCTGGCAGTTCTTCAGGCTAAACACAGATTGAAATGTTAACAAAATTCATGGGCTGTAGCTGACGTACATTCGACGTTGGACTCGATAAATTAAGCCCTAGATAAATTAAACATCCATTTCTCCTTCAGAGAGGGCAAGAGAAGGGGGGAGTTAATGTGCTTCTATTCTGAAAATGACTTATTAGTCCTTGTTAAACATAATTACACTCTGCCCCAAAATGAGGCATCTGAAAGAATTTTTACTGTTTAATGGAAAGTTAATATGTTACTAAGATTATGTAGAAATTGAAAAAATAATACTGTATATTAAACATGATTTATGTGTTAGGATGGCTGTTTCTGGTAGCTACTTGGGTGCACAATTGTGACCTGTGTCAAATTAATAAGCTCTTAGTAACCAATTAGAAAGAAAACTAGGCAGTTTTTCAAAAAGGAAATTGATCAAGGATACTGTTTGAAACAGACATTCTTCCTCTTCTGGCTGAAAATTGTACCATTATCTATATATATTTTTAATAGCTCTTTGAATATTGGCTTGTGATATGACCAAGGAAGATTCATATTGAGGCTATAATCTTATGCACACGGACCAGGAAGGGGGGAGGGGAGAGAAATCTGATTCTGTTAGCATTTAAAGGCAAGTTTACCTAATTTGCATTTATTGAAACAATTAAATTAAACAAACAAATTAAACACAGCCATCCTCCCAAATTTGTACTTCTCTGAATTTTTCAACGCAGTTCACTAACCAAGTAATGGGTACAAAAATCTATATACAAAGATGTACACATAAATGTATATATTTGTGAAGGAAAAAAACATACAAAATGCACTGTATTAGGGGAAATTTTGTATATTAGTCAAAATTGCAACAAAAAATGTATATATTGGGATAAATTTGTGCAAATATGCCAATGAATTTTCATATCATCATCATCATCATCATCATCATCATCATCATCATCTGATGTGGAGAACTGAATTTGGGATTGGAAAAATTAGAGCCTTGAGAGAAACTGAAATTGGCAGATTTGTCCATCCCTAGTAAACAACTGAATGCAGTGGGGTTTTCTTGTGAGTAAACGTGGCCTCCTCAAGCTGTACAGCTGCTGCCCGGTGCAAACTGAATAGAGAGCAGGCCCTGTGGAACTCACTGGGACTTATATTTCAAAGAATTGGTCTGACAAGAGAATTACTGCTCTTATTTTCGAAACTGTTTCCTGCTTCAATAGTACTGGATGCTTCCCAGTGGAAGTTTATTGTGGAATTGGTGCTGCTCATACACGAAAGCTTTTCGCACCGTCCACGTGACATCACAGTCATCAAATGCCAACCGGTGCTTTTTTGCATTAAATCCAGATTTAATTTTCAATCCACATTTCCTCATTTGTCTTTTTCTCTTTCTGCAGAAAGTCTGTTGCGCAATAATATCCATTCCTGACGTGGAAGCTCATTAGCCCACAGTTGTTGTTGTTCTGGTGGGTGATTTGTTGTATGTGGTGGCATTTTTTTGTTGTGTGGTCCCTATTGCCACATCCCTGCTGAAATCAACTCCTCAACTGTCGTGCAACTACTGTATGCTGAAGGCACACTAGAATTTCAACAACCCAGTTCGGAGGAGTTATTTTCTCAAGATTTCAACATATATGGGGGAAACTGTACTGTATATGTAACCTTGGAGACCGTAGGTGAGCTACTCAGAGTAAACCCACTGAAATAAATGGACCCAAGTGAGCCAGTGTTGTGTAGTGGTTAGAATGTTGGGAGCAGGATCTGGAAGGCCAGGGTTCAAATTCCCAGTCAGCCATAAAGTTCTCTGGGTGACTGTGCACCGGCTACAGCCTCTTAGCCTAACCTACCTCACAAGGTTGTTGTGGGAATTAAATGAGGAGCGGGAAAACCACGTTTGCCATCTTTGGAGGAAAAGGTGGGATATAAATACAATAAGTATACCCAGCCAGATGGGCAGGGTATAAATAAATTATGATGATGATGATGATGATGAGTAAATAATAGGATCCATGTCTGTTAATTTAAGTCGGTCCACTCTGAGCAAGACTAGCATTGGGTACAACTTTATAACACCTACACTGATTATCGTTATAAATAAGATGTTTTGTGTATTAGCTCTTTACCAGAATTTCAGCAGAGCTAAGAACACAAAAGAGCTACCGTATTTTTTGCTCTATAAGACTCACTTTTTCCCTCCTAAAAAGTAAGGGGAAATGTGTGTGCGTCTTATGGAGCGAATGCAGGCTGCGCAGCTATCCCAGAAGCCAGAACAGCAAGAGGGATTGCTGCTTTCACTGCGCAGCGATCCCTCTTGCTGTTCTGGCTTCTGAGATTCAGAATATTTTTTTTCTTGTTTTCCTCCTCCAAAAACTAGGTTGCGTCTTGTGGTCTGGTGTGTCTTATAGAGCGAAAAATACAGTGTGTTGGATCAGGCCACGTTTCAGCTGGGCAAAAGTGCTTGGGGAGAGTGTGGAGCAGGACCAATGGTTGGAACAGGCTGTGGAGAGGGTGTACGGCCTGGTGAGAGTTCTGAGGGCCAGGTGGAGAGACC